TTCTTTAGTAGTTGGTAGCTCCTCCTTTGTTCTTGATGATTTCGAATATTTGCTTGGGCATTGAGGTAACAAGATTCTGGATTGTTTGTGCTTCGATTTGCTCCCAGTATTCCCTTATGCCCGCTTTGAGGTCCTTCACAGTGTTGAACTGACGTCCATTTACGTAAACCTTTGATGTCATTATTCCTCAAAGGTTCTCGATAGGGTTACAATCCAGACAACTAAATGGCCATTCAAGAACGGTGATTTCTTTTGCCTTTGATTGGATACATGGATTGAGGCAGGATAGCTGAAAAACAGCCGAGTCCTCCAGATACGGAATCAAAACTTCTTCCAGGAGCTCACAGTAAGTGGTCGAGTTCATTCTCGTGGAAATCCAGCAGATAGAAAGCTGAACATCGTAGGAAAATGCACCCCATAACATAACCGTTTCGCCTCCAACATTTCTCTTCGATCTGTTGACCCCTTTATCCCTTAAATCGTGCCAATAATGGCTGTAGCAATCAGGACCACCCAAGTTGAACTTTTTCTCATCAGAAAAAATACGTAGCTCCATTCATTAGTCCAGTGCATTGTCCTATGCTAATTTCAACCGATTGACTTTATGCTGGAATGTTAGTTTCGGTTTTGGCTTTGGTTTTGTCCATTTTATGTGTGAAGACGCATAGAGTACGCGACTAACGGTACTTTCGTGCACTGGAAGATCGAGTTTGGTAATAATCCGGCGGCAACTCAAGTGATTTTGCGTTGCTTCAACCCGAATTTGTCCTTTTTGTCTGGCTGTCAATTTTGAATTCCCTTGGTACGTACCTTGAAACCATATTCCTTCAGATTTTTTAGATAATTTCTAACAACCTTTTCTGATCTATTGATCTTCAGAGAAATCTCACGATGAGATCGACCAGAATGTGCCAGAATCCGGATTTAGCCCTTTTCGACATCGTCTAATCGTTTTACCCTTCGCATGTCTGGAAAAATCAAAATCATTTTAAGGCTGTGAACCATTTGCCGAGTTAAATTTAACTCGTGATTAAAAGTGACTTTTCGAAAGTTATTTCTTATGTTCGAAAATCCCTGGGTTACCGAGCAGAACTCATCCACGGTTGTGAAAACTTAACTTCTTGTCTGTCAGAAATAACCACGCATGGATAGCAGGGTTAATCGATAACTTTCCATCTGTCAAATTTTAAACAAAAGTTAAAAAATCCGCCAAATGGTTCAGAGCCTAAGTAAAATAGTGATAAACATCTACTGCGTCTAAACGTTTGCAGCGCGGCGAAAGCAGAAAATATGTCAAAATGAAGTCTACTTCCTACTGACCAATGTCTTTTATATAAGGTCCAGGCCAACAGGCAGCTGGTGTTAGGAGCAAAAATACTGTAAACATTGCTGAGCATTCAAGTGACGACGTCACTCTACCATAACATTCCATACTGCAAACAGTGAGATTTACGTCACTGTTAACAGCTGTTTCGTGTAAAAAGATAAAAATTGCAATGAAATATGAACACCACTAAACATTTGCACATTTCACTAACACCAATAGGCCTGTTGGCCCGGATCTTTTACAAACGTCATTGCCTACTGAAGACAGTAGAAGCTGTCGCAAAAAGTTTGTAAACATGGTTGAGCATCTCCCTACACACTAAGATTTTGGTTCCGTGTTCGGTAAATTTTACCGAAATCAGAACGGCTGAATGTTCGGTAAACCTTTGACCTTCATTTTAAAGGCTATTGAATTTAAAATTATTTTTAAAACATGTTCAACCTCAAATTTTGTCATTCTAGTGGAGATTAAGTTTCAAAGTAGCTGAAAAGCAATTGAATTGAATTGCATCAATTATACCGAACAGTTCAGCTGTTCAGATTTCGGTAAAAATTACCGAATTCGGCGATAATTTCTAAGTGTATACCACATCCTATCATGATCCATGACTGGTTCCAAGAGAATCGTCAAGCTAAAGTGTGCTTCAGTTAGAACTCGGAATCTCAGTTTATTTTATAGCAGTGCTCTACGATTCATGAGGTTTTAAAAAGTTGTACCAGTTGGATGACGGGAGAAGAAAATTGATCTCGAATCGCGAACAGGCACGATGAGATGTCTCCAGCTAGTTTACATTCGTTTTCAACAACAATTTTCGCCATGGATAAAAAGGTGAATTGTACAACAATTGCGTGATGAGCAATAATTGATGAATTATCCCAAATCAGTAGTGGACATTGCCCGACATTATTTATGCATTATGAATGTATGACCGAAATGATTGGGAAAGATACTAAATGCACTTTAACTATTTTGTTTGTATTACTTGTGCGTGAAGTTAACAATTTACATAGTTGAAGATGCTAAGCGGAACTATCATCTCTATACTTTCATCTTCTTTCATCTTCTCATTTATCGTATAAAATGACCACTTTAAATCTGTTATCAGACGTTTAGCATCTTAAACTACTAAATGCAGCATAAAATATGACTAACCAACACAGGCATGGGGCAAATGGGATAACCACCAAATAAAAATTACGGACTCTCATTATTTTAACTTATTTGGAGTTTTATTCATAGAGAATTTGCTGAGTTATACAAACTAGAACTGTTTTAGGCAAGTGCAAGCAAAAATTCGTGATGCTTAAATAACATGAAAGTCCAGTATAATACATAAAACCCTTTTGAAGTAAACGGTATCAATAAATATCAGGTTTTGTTAAGTTCGGTTCTAAGTTCTCCTTCAGATATTTTTATTTATTAAAGCAACGTATCATTCAATCATACAGATTTTTTGACGTAGACTACGTCTTGCGGGAAGGTACAGGGGGTAAATCAAAATACTACAGGGGGTACATATATACTTTTTTAAGTATTCCATAACAAAAAAACTTTTGGAAATGTACAACTATAAAAAGTGATAATTTTATCACTGTTGGTGAGTGGTACCTGCAGCGGCAGGAGCAAGTCAGCTTCAAAAGGTGGAATTTTTCCCACAGCTGTCGTGCACCAGACGGCGTGATGAGTGGATCACCTTAACAACCAGTGGTGGGGTGGAAAGCTGGACCTCTTCAATGAGCTGTTTTTGCATTAAGCTCAATCCGCACCTTCCCAATATCATCCGAAACGACTGGCGGCTTTCTTCATTGCATGAATAAAAAAATAAACATAATATGGTTAATGGATAAAAATTCTTCCCGATTTCCGGGAATTCTCAGGTACAACCGCTTATAATAATTCTGAATTCTCATCAAAAATGGCCCGACAATGAGAAACACCAAATATGACGAAAGGTCAAGACAAGGAATCACATAGGTGAAGACTAACTCATTTTTCCTTGTTTCAAGATCATCCTCGGTCCAGGCAACCCGTAGACTTATCACTATCAGCAAGGCATAAAAAGTAACAAGGACTAAGATGTGTTCCTTTGATTCTTTGGTAGATCTTACATCCCGTAACGTACCACGAAAAGATGATCTACGCACGTTATGGGGCAGTTTCGTTAGTTTGAGCAGAGATTATTTACTATCGCTGTGTGGAGTAGAATTGTTAGTTTCAACCTCCTGATGACTATGATTGAGGTCTACCAATACACTAAGTTAGTATAGGAGCAGCATACCATGCCGAGAACGGTGGGATCGATTCTCGACCCAGTCCAGGATTTTTTCGTGTTGGAAATGTTCTTTACTTCCTTGGTCATAGAGTATTTATACTGTACCAATGCAAAAACGGTCTCTGATCTCTGAATTACCAACCGTATAAGTTCCCATAAAAATCTTAGTTTTGAATAGGTATACATTTCCAGAATGATTATGGCTTCCGTCAAAATAGGTTTCCAAAAAAGTTCTTCAAAACGAAGGAATTGTTAAAGAAATCTCAGCTTTTCATTCTCCTCTCCACGGGAAAGCTCCACCGATTGTATCGACTCAGTTCTACATAAAATTCCAATGTATTGATTAAATCACTTTATAGTTTATGACATGCGTTTCTTCATTCAACATCCATAACCATTATCGGCCCATAAATTTGCTTTATTATGCTCACTTTACATGACTTGGAGAGATCCGAGACACTCTAAGCCTAACCACAAATCATTCCACCCACAAGCGCCAATCGAATCTCAATTTATATTCCAATCAACAACGACGTGTGCATCCGTATAATCTACCAATAAATCCACTGTTCACCTCCCAGACGTTCGGTTTCACCGACACGTTGACGTGCGCTCGCTTGCAAATTAGAACAAAGAATAAAATTGAACAAATTTAAAAGGGAAATGTACTAATGCGAAGATACACATTAACCCTCCAGTCTGAGAAGGAGGTCAAACAAGCATGAGGCAGCTCATGTATGAATTGTGTGAATCATAATTCCAGAACTGAGATTGTTCTGAATTACCAACCCAAATACTGAAGAAATTATAATTTTAAATGCACCATTCAATGGATATCGCATTTCGTAACTTAGTCCCCCGCAAAGTGGGAGTGTTTTTCAGTTGCGAAATTTTGTCTACGAGACCTATCCCAGGCGAATGTTTGTCATTATTTATGCAAACATCGTCTTGCGCTTGAAAAGGTTTTCTACGCCAAGCAAGCTCATTTGCAGTTTGCCTTCTCTTGGATATACCGCGACGTGCCATCTCCATGTTTTGCTTATTGATCGTAAAAAGACTTTATTTTATTGCTGTAATCGCATCATTATCTAGTGCTATTAACTTAAATGGTTTACGCTTTGATTTCCGACACCGTGTGGACAAATCGACTCTGACAACCGGTGAACCGTATATTATTACCTCACGCAACCCACCTACGCTCCACAACGACGACGACACCGCCTTTCCATAAAGATAACGAGATTGGTAAGAAAAACCAAGCCAAGTAGGTGGTTGGTTACGAAATGAGGAACATTGGCCTTGAACTTCCAGCGAACGGGGAGTGTTGACTTCCTACGATAGCATGAATTCGTGGAACTATTTAATGTCGCTAATTGCGTTTTTCATTTCTTCTTTCTCCAGGTGACATCACTCAGAAAGGATATGAAAAGAAGCGAACACGACTACTGCAGCCATATCTAGCAAAAAATGCACAACAAGGTAATGAATTACTCATACATTACATATTTTTCACTCAGTTTCATGTAGCATGTAAGTAGTTAAATTCAACGAAGCAAGTAGGTCATTCAAAAAATCTCCCAACAACAGGTCATCCGCGTCGAAAGTGCAATCAATTCACAGTAACGGCATAAAAATTCCAACCTTTTGTGGGAAATTAATCCTACAGCAGGTCTTTTTTTTTCCTGCTGACAAGGTAAAATGACAACCGGCCGGCCGGCGCGAGCTCTACTCATTCGCGCTTCATTCACTCGTTCTCGCCTTTTTCGGCATTCGATGATAAATAACAACTTCTTAACGGTTCAACGAAACTTGCATCGCACATACCTACCTACGTGAGGATATCCGACAAAGAGCGATAATAAATTACCGCATCTTACTTAACAGACGAAGTAGTAACTACATATTCTTTCAAGATAAATTTGGTGTTCAAGCCTTAGCACCGGAGATGGATCGCGATTTTTTCACTTTGCACACATTTCTTTGTGAATTATGTAAACAAACTTTTGTTCGGTAATTTTAGCTTGAATGCAAACAGATGTATACTTCAATGTGCATAATAGCAGAACAGTAAGCTGTGTTTTTTTAAATATTGACTTTCAAATGGCACAAAAATATCCATTTGCATTGTCCAGATGACGAATTGTTCTAAGAAAAATTGAAGAACAGGAGATTTTTATCGATGGGCTCAATCTTTAGGCCAACATTAGAGCTATCATCACATTAGAGCCTCAATAGGCCAAAATTAGAGCCATCTCATCTATTTTATCTGAGTACACTTTAAGAGCTAAATAAGGTTCCATAATTTCAAAATCCTCACAATGAAAAACACAAATCCTCTTGAGGGACAATGTGCAATCTTTAGCTTTTCCAATGATACAATTCTAATACACCTTGGCAGGCATCTCAATGCTCATAAGCTCATGTTCACTCAAACGATTTCACACCCCAGTCCTCAATTGCTTAATTGTCTCGGCAAAGGGCGACGATTTGTCACGCGAAAGTGCTACAATTTACCACAAATTAGAGAGCGAAAGAAAAATCGCAATCCATCTCACTCAATGAATGCAGTGCGACAGTAAGATGATGAAAGCGCAACATTGACTGGAGCTGAAAGAATGTGTCACTCACTTCTTGTGCACCAGTGCACCTACCTTCCTATCTATAGGTACATGTGAAAAGGTCTTCATAACCGCGAACGAGTGAATGACAGAATGAATGAATGAACAAAAACGATACATCTCTGTGCGCCTCTTTATGACAGTTTATTGCACCCGCCCGGTAATGTTCTCCGGCTTTCCGATCGGGGACCAGTTGTGCGTCCGTGTGCATTTGAGCACGGCAAACGGGGGGAGGCGATAATTAGCAAGAAAGTGGAAAATTACTTCAACATTATCGTTTGCCCGTCAATTAACTCCATTTCTTCTTAAAGAGGCGCACAGATATCAGTGAAGAGACAGACCGATATTGTTGAAGAGCGGCGCGTTTACATGGTTGACGCACGCGGAAGAAAATGCGTCGACGTTTCCTTTTCGATGCTACCTCACTCTCTTTGGCGAAATATGCACCTTCCGGCGGTCGTAGACGGTTTAGGAAAATTGGCATTAATGTCCGAGTATTTATAGATCATTTCTGTATGTAGTAATAACTGTAGATGTAGCTAGCTGTTGTGTAATTGTATCGTTAATTTCTCGCTTGTTGACACTAATTTGTGCCGTCAGGTGGCGGAGGCGGTGGTGGTGGTGGTAATAACCCAGGCTATGTAAATGACATCCAATCGCACCTGCACCATCCTTCATCCCAGCAGAAGCAGAACATCTTCGCCTCCTCCGGCAGCGGCGGGGGAGGCGGAGGAGGTGGCGGTGGTGGAGGTAGTCGAGAACGTAATGACCGCTCAAGCAGCGGCCACCATCATTCTCAGCAGCAGCAGATCCAGCAGAACAGAACGAGGCGCAGCACGCAGCGAAGAGTCACTCACAATGAGAAACGATACCATTCAGGTTAGCAAAGCAGATCTTCACTAGGAAGAGCACAGTCGAAAATCATCGAAAATTAAATCACTGCACGATCATTTGTTCTCATATTTCAAACCATTTCAATTCAACCAAAATCGACTCGCACAACTCAGATCATGAATTTTTAAGAACTCTTGTTGGAATCGGAGTGAACTACAAGTGCCTTCCATCTGATCGTTTTTATAGCTTTAGTTGCGCATTAAAAAGTCACATGCTGCTTGCAGATGTTAAGTATTCGATTATGTTGGGTTGCAACTTCGTAGTAGTTCATCATTTATCAACTTTTTATAGATGTTCTTGTTGGAATATGTAGCTAGTAGCGTTTTCCCATTCTTTCCAGTAATCGTCGTTTCATTTAGAGTAATATTATTAAACTAATTGATCCACTTTTATGTGTTTTTAGATTCACATTAATTCATTAAAACATATAATGGATATTGGTCGAAACATCATAGAACTTTATCAGGGTTCAGAGAAAAGATGATATATATGTTAAGAATTTCTTAAGATATGCTAGGAATTCACATATATTTTCTTAGGGGAAGTGTACCAGTCTTGTCAGCCATAACCTTGAATTTTTCATAAAAATCTTAATTTCTTCCACAGGAAGTTAGTCTCAAAGCTTTTACGTATGCCTACGTTGAAAAATATAGAAAAACTTATTTTTAAGTTAGGTCAAAGAGCACTAGTGCCATTACTGCCATTCTTCCCCTATTTAAATTCTCAAGTAATACTCCTGCAAATTTGAGAGTGGCAGCACTCTCGAAACATCTTAAATTTTCTCACAGTGTATGGAAACAACGATGATGCCAATGAAGTATATTAACTTGGTCTTTGTTATACTATCATCGATCTGAATTGCATTAATATTATTCTATGTCAAATAGACACACGCATTGTCATTTGCAGTGTTCAGAAATTATCATTATCAAATCTCATTAATTAAACAGCCCTGAGCGAATAAACTCATGCGCGAATTTGCAAACAAATCTTTTGCACGCACTCCCACTCACAACGCCAAAAATTTATTCCATATCTTGCAATTCGGTCAAACGTCAATTGATGGAAGGAACATGAATGTTTTGTTACTTTTCCAACAAGTACCACCACGAACAATGGATAACGACAAAATATAAACGAATTAATTTTTGAACCAATAAACTCATCCGTGATTTTTGCGCAGCTGAATTTCGCGAGACAAAACTCATAGGCGAATAATCTCACGCATGAGATTTAGTTTTCGAGTTTTTTTTTTGAATACTGGACATTTGGAAAGTAGTTCGTACCAAAAACTGTGACATTCACAGAAATGGAAATGTTAATTGCACTTCTTTTTTTTTTGAATCCAATAAAAAACTACGGTGCTTGCAATATGCGTCAGTGTAAAACCATTGACGATGTGATTTTTGAACCAATGAACCTCTTTGTCAAGCAGTTTACAGTGTTATTTGATGCCATTCGAACTTTGCAATATAATTTGAGATTATTTATCTAGAACTACTAGACCTTTTGGTGATTGTCACCAAATCGTAGTAGATGGTTTATCTGGTTATATGGGGATGTGTTCATTCGAGTTGTTTAAAGTGAATCGCTGTGACATCATTATTCTCGGAACCACTTCCAAACTTTAAGTGCACACATATCAGCTTCAACGACACGTGCAACATTCAAATTGTTACTCCGCGTTTACTGCACTGCAGTATACATGAAGTAGCAATTTCATGTGAAATAGGGCTCCGATTTCCGAGATTTGTGTAATTGAAAATTCGAAGTGGAAGTGCATGTATAGCCTACGTGGCGGCCATTTGTGGACTCTACAAGGAATCACCTTAAAAACCATTCACCACTCAAACTATTTTTTTTTTTATAATGCGTTTATTTTTCCAGACCCATTTGCCGTGGCTTTGCGGAGCCGATATTCATCGTGTGGGTTACAAAATTACTTAAAATTAACGTTAGTAAAGCGGTGGCCGATAACTCGCGGCTATCTCGAGGTTAGGGGTAACAAATTGTAACAAATTGATGGCAGGTTAGGGATTGAGAATACAAGGTGTTTTCGAGCAATGTGCTCTTAATCTAGAACTAAGCGACATACTCGAGAAAAGGACGAACATGGAGGTACACCGATGGGGACCTAGCAACTTGAGAGAACACAAGATGACACTAACTACTAAATCCTCAAATCGATCCATTTTAAAAACACATAAATTAAATTGCAATAGTCGAGATCTCGGCTCGCCAAGATGCCTCTAATGGGCCGCAAAGGTTGTTTTCCTCGGGCCCTGAGGGATGCGGATAACTCGGATCTAGCCACACAATGGAGGGTGCATGACCAAAGCACGTGTTCGATATCGTGATAGCCACTACCACAAGCGCACAAATTGCTGCCTGCGAGCCCGATTCGGAAGAAATGCGAGCCTAACGAGTAGTGATTGGATATGAGCCTTGACATGACACGTATAAAGTCACGACTCATGTCCAATCCTTTGAACCACGGCTTTTTCGATACCTGTGGGAGAATAGAATGTAACCATCTTTCCAGATCACTCTTATTCCATTTTTGTTGCCAGTTGGTGAGGACTTGCTGACGGGTAATTGAAAAAATTTCCGCAAAGGCGATTTGTCGATCAAAAATATTGCCTTCCATAGCGCCCACCTTAGCTAGCGAGTCCGCTTTCTCATTACCCGGAATTGAGCAATAAGATGGGACCCAAAATAAGGTGATAGTATAGGAGCAGTATAGCTCGGATTTCGGTCAGGAAATACGAGGAGTGCTTCATCGGCCTCATTGATCGAATAGCCTCCAACGAGTAAAAATAAAATAGTGATCAGATGGTAGCGAGGCAATTTGCTCTGGCTGCTAGTTCCGCATGAAATTCGTTGAATACTCCAAATCTAGTGGAAGCGTTTATAGTTGACCCATCTGTGAAAAAACTCTTTTTGTTACTGACATGGTGGTACTTGTTTGCAAAAATTAAGGGGACAATCATCGACCGATGGTGATCTGGTATTCCACGGATTTCTTGCAACATGGTCAGATCAAAATTTACAGAGGAATTGTAAAAGTCTTGGAGGCAAACACGAGTGGAGTTGAATGAAGAAGAGCCAATCTCATTGGACTTTGCCAATGCAAAAATGGTACAGGCATCGAAAGCTCTCAATTAATAACTGTGGAAGTGCATCTAGAACACTAAGTTGAAAGCACCTATAAGCTAATATGCGATATGCAATAAGCTTCAGATCTTCTGTTGAACTGATTTATTGTAACGTCCCGTTAGAACTAGTAGGTTGTTTGGAAACAGCTTTAGCTGCAACTGAAACGGTTAAACCGGGAATCAATACAATCGAGAAAAACCAGTAATTTGATTTGAACCTAAAATACATTTTTATATGTACTTATATGTACTATATGTACTTTAAATACGTACATATGTAAAAAAAAAATTCTAAAATTAAATTTATATTTTGAATTCTTCAAGAATATTCTAAGTCCCTTATCTCGAATATTTCACTTAGAATCTTGTATAATTCATCAAGCTCGAAATTCTTAACTTTTCCGTAGTTTGCGCTACCAAAACTTAAGAGTTAGATCTAAAAAATAACAATGCCCTAGAGTTTTGATAAGTATTCAAACCCAAGGTGGTGATAATGTTTTCAATTGAGAATCTTAAGTAATTTCTAAGCCTTGAACATGTAATTCTTTGTCAACTTTTTCAATCTCCAAATGGATAGGGAAAGGTAAATATTTGCCTAAATCAGTAACGCAAAAAAAACCAAATCATAGTACCGTGCCGATTCAAATTTCGGACACTTAAACTCGAATTTCGGACACTTTTAAAAGTTGATTATCTCGGTCGAATATGATCCACATGTCTTGTAAATTTTAAATTTTTTTGACTAGTGCCCTCCACGATCATCTAACATTATTACTTTGTTTCTAACTGGATGTAATATTTAATTAAAAATGAAAGTGTCCGAAATTTGAATCGTCCGAAATTTGAATCGGAACGGTACTTAGATCAAATTTAAAAGCCGAGATCTTGAAAATTTTCCGAAGTTTCAGTGTACTTAAATAAAAATATTTTTAATTTCAGTTTGGCCAAACCAAGCTTTTTTTGTCTTTATTAGAGAAATTTTTAGCCGTTGGCTAGTTCATCTCTATAAAATGCCTGCAAATTTTGTAACGGAGTTGGCTTACAATTCACTGGTACTCAAATAGAAGCAATTAAAACAGATTCCGACTAACAATACAGGCAATGCAATCTGGTACATCAAAGTTATGTAGGGTTCTGAAAGAGATCGGAGCTCCAGCGTAGGAGGGGTAATCCCCCGTCCGACAGAGATGTCCCGTCAGCCAAAAGAAAGTTAAAAGGACCTAAATGTTGTTGTATGCCAAACATATTTTATTAACACTCTGAACACGATACCTCCGGTAAAATGTGTAACTAAAAATTGACAATGATTAACAAATTATTACTCAGCAACTTATCGATAGGTTTTTCATCTATTGATACTGAATAAATTGTAAAAATATGTTGTTTCAAATGGCGTCAATAAATGACTGAGCTATGATTTTTCAAATATTGCAAGTTTTCCTTTACACATGTTACCGGAGGCATCGTGTTCGAAGTGTTAACAGTATTGTACACTCTTCGCTTCATCAAGCAGTAGGCAAAATCATGTTGTTTGACACAACATTTAGCATAATGAAAGGTATTACAGTAGAGGGGTAAGTGAATGGTTATTAAAAAAAAAACACAAAATTTAATTTTTTTTACACGATCAGAGACATAAGTCCGCATGTTCCTCAATCCTCTTGTTACCCATGGAAACACGAAAGCATCTTTCGTATTGATTGTTAGAAATACCGTAAAGCAGGCCTGTCCAACCTTTCTAAACATGCTTTAAATGGCTGTATCTACGTTCAATTGACATGTTTAAAGCTACATTTTGTATATTTCTCATTCATTCTGATGATGATGATT